GATAAAAGTGTATGCAAATTTGTTAAAGATTATAAACAACATCATCTTATACAAAATACTCATGTCTGCCTAGCAATATCTTCTTTCTTTCAAATATGTAACTGGAATACAAGTCGAGCTAATGGTAATAGTCACCAGCATGGAGGAAAAAGGATTTGTGTTCAAGTTGCTGCAACAGCTAGATGCAGAAAAGGATTAAATCGTGGGCTTAAAAAAATATAGCAAAGGAGACCAAGAAATAGTGTATATAATAATGTGTCTAAAACTGACATACAAGATTCAATCCATTTTATTATGCCTTTACGAAAAAAACATAAAAAAAAAAGCAAACACATGATTTGCAACAAGCTTTAAAAGAAAATTGGCCGAATGGTATGAAATAAAGATAAATTAAGCTAAATCAAATAAGGTAATATTTCTAAGATTATATATATATATAAGGCATTTAATTAGTTTAGTTTTTTCAATTAAGACGCTACTAAGAAACTTAAATACTTTAATATTGTTAAACTTACTGTTCAGTTTTTAAAAATTTTAATATGTTTGCTAATATGATTTATGTTTTGTATGCAAACTTTGTCAAAACCACAGTTCTTAAAAACTTTCGTTGTATAGTGTCTAGATATAAAGTTTTAGTAAGAAAGTAAGAAAATATAAATAATTTCATAGCGACTAAGAAACTTATGTACTTTAATATTGCTAAACTTACAGTTTGGTTTTTAATTTTAATATGATTTATGTTTTGTATGCAAACTTTGTCAAAACTCACAGTTCTTAAAAACTTTTGTTGTATAGTGTCTAGATATAAAGTTTTAGTAAGAGAATAAGAAAGTATAAATCATTTCGCAGCGACTAAAAAACTTATATACTTTAACATTGCTAAACTTACATTTTAGTTCTTAAAATTTTAATATGATTTATGTTTTGTATACAAACTTTGTCAAAACCCACAGTTCTTAAAAAATTTTGTTGTATAGTGTCTAGTTATAAAGTTTTAGTAAGAGAATAAGAAAGTATAAATCGCTTCGTTTTCATATCGATTTTATGTACTTATATACTAATCTATAAATAGATATGCATGCTATGCATAACATAATGTTTATTAAATGTTACCTGATCGGCATAATGTGACCGCAAACCGAGCACAGATTACAATTTTGCAAGATTGAGTTAATTTTGTACTTGAAGTATAAAAATTTCTACTATAAAAAACTCTATTAAACTTACTTAGTTGATTTTTGGTATTTAGTTCATTTTTGCATATTATTTTATTTTATTTTTTTTAATATTAAGATGACTACTTAGACCCTTGGCACTTTATTAGTTCAAGTGGGTAGGCCGATATTAATTAATTTAATACCGGCTTTACATATTACATCAGTATTACGAGAGTACAACTAGCCACACGTGCACCTTTTGAGTGCCTAATTTAAGTAGTTCGCCCGAAGGTTCTACACTAATTGCCGTACTTGCACTCCAACTAGGGGGGTATCCATTTAAACTCTCTGGCTTCAATCGACATCACATGTTTCCTCCTAATATACCCTTTCACAGAGTAATTTATCGTTAAAGACCCTAAGACTTTAGCCATTAACCTAATTTGGGAGGTATTTATCCTTGTAGTAAACCTAACAGAGTGATGCATGTCCTACACATGCGCTCACTTGCATGTTTAGTAACTTCTTCCTAACTAGTACTTGTTGTATTGCCGCCACTGGGTTTGTATCTCAAGCCAACTTTTGGGGTGCTGCTATAACCTGATCTGTATCTCAAGCACAACTTTTCTAATTAGTCGCCCATTATGTACTCCTTGCCCTTATAAGGTTCACAGCAACTCCGGTACTCGCATTCAGACCGTCTTCTTACCTGAATTCTTTATCGATCTCTCTCTTACTTCTAGCCGGCAACTCGGATAGGTTGGTTTGCCCAGGCTTTAGGTGCCTGAAGGATGCCCTCCCTTAGTTCATACTTTCAGAGCGTATAACCTTTTCCTCCGGTGCGACAACCTGGCAGTTCGGCTGGTGTGTCCTCCACCAGCAGACCTGGTCGCTCGGTTCTCCAATCTTGGGCCCTAGTTCAAATTCAGCTTTCTTGTGATACCATCGAAAATCACTACTACTCCCAATTCGGGACTTGTCAAATGGGTTTTCGGTTATGCCGGTTCCTCGGATTTATTGTGCCAAAGCTTCTATTACAAAATGGTATGACCGAAGTTACAGATTAGTTCTAGATCCAACCGATAAGCATAGCTGTTAACCAAAGCACAAGCCTATTTTTCAAATATTGTCATCCATGAGATTTGAATTCTAGATTTGCCACTTGGAGAGGGTGATGACTAGACCACTATACTAAGTCGCCACACCTCTATTTTTGCATATTATTAACAATATCTGTAACTCAGATAAGAATAGAAAGGTATAAAGTTTGTATAATATATAAAAATACTTAATAACTTTAAGTAAAATCAACTATAAAATAATCACATATTAGGTTTAAAATCAGCAAAGCAAATTTGCAAATCAAGGGTATAAATACTTACCAATAAATAATATCATTCAGATCATTTCAGGCATATTAGTATTTGTAAGTTGGTTGTATTAAAATTAAGATCAGCAAACAAATTTGTAAAACAGCACTTCAAGATATTTAATCTAATTAACGCATTTGTTATATATATATATATATATTATTGTCAAACTTGCTTTTTAGGCAAAGTTTTTAGAGATACTAATCTATATTGATCTTTTTTTACAAAAGATATATGAAGAGTTAAAGAATACTATAATATACTTTAAAAAAATTTTATTATATAAAACTACAAGTTGTCAATTGACAATATGGTTTTTCATAGTAAGGGTTACTTTAAAATTTTTTTTTTATATTGTATAACTTAGTGATCTTCAAGCCAATCAAATCAAATATCCACTATGCTGTCTAAAGTAAAATTGAATTCCTGTTGGATTTATATATATATAGTCAAACCTCTATAAATGCAATACCTCTCTAAATACATGTTTTTGGCCTAGCTATAAGAAATTATTAGTGCTAAATGCATATTCTATATTCTGCAAATACAAGTTCACTCAAAAGATTTTTTATATTATACTAACCTCCCTAAATGCATGTAGCCAATCAGAATTCAGTATTCAAGTTGTGTTATATAAGCCTGCAGATCAAACATTAAAAGCTGCAATTTGATTAGCTTTTTCTAAATGCAAACCTCTCTAAATGCATGATTGAAGCTAGTTTGTACACATTGCATTTATAGAGGTTTGACTGCACTAAAAATAAAATTTGTATTTAATACACAATATTGTAAATTGATAAATTCAAAAACTCAATAATTGAGTTTTTGTTTGATTTTGCCAAGCACTATATATAATAACAATTAGTATTACAAATTAATAAGATATTTGAAGTTAGTTAATAGTTAAAAAAAAATTAGATATTAAGCAAAGCTTTAAACTAGAAATATACAAATATTGCATTTGATATATAATTTTTTAAACCTAATATAGATTATAATAGTATTGTTATTTCTATTGTTTTTTTTTTTGAATTAACATGTTTTTGAAAAATTATATAAATTATTTATTATTTTTTTTTTCATTGTTTTTTTTTTTTTTATTTTTGTTATTGTTTTTTATATACTTATTCTTTTTTACTTACCCTTTTGAAAAAAAAATTAAAAGAGAAAAAAGCAGTTATAACAAGGCTACAAGTTCTAGTATAATTGATAGCATTAAGCTTTTTCACAAAACAAGCTCAACTAGTAAAACTTGCTATAGCAGATTACTTTTAAGTATCTTTGAATAACTAGATAGATTACACTTTTATAGTAAACTTTTTGTAGTTAGTATATATATTACATGAATTTGTAAGAAATATATATAAAATAATAATAATAATAATAATAAATAATTTATATAATTTTTCAAAAACATGTTAATTCAAAAATTGATTTATATTGTTTATACTGTATAAACCTTAATTAATTTATGTCAAAAGCCAAACTTTAAGAACTGGCCTAGACGAAGTTCAAATTTTAGTGAATTTTTTATTTTTTGAATTAACTGAACCAAACCGGATGAACCAATTAACGGTTCTAAACTTCCAATACCGTCTTGTACATAACGATAAGATTGCGTAATTTGATTTGTCAATAATCACGGGTAATCACGGGTAATCACGAGTAGAGTTATACAGACAAATTTTTTGTCGAGTTCGGGAATAACTTTTTATGTAACCTGATGAAGGAATTTATTGGAGTCGGTAAATCAAGTAAGTTTTATTTCTCTTTGCAATTTTTCAATTTTATTTTTTTGGAAAATACGCGACAATAGAAATAAGAAATGTAATAAAAAAAGCAAAATCAACTTTATTATTGCATTATCGTTATTAATCATTCGGAAATTTACATATTAATGATCTATAATAACTGTTCGGATTACTGCATAATCATCCGAAGCACAACCTTGTACCAGGGACGCCGAAAATTATGGTTCATAATTTTTTGTAATTTTAATGGTTATCCAAAAGAAAAAAAAAAAAAGAACCCAAAATTTCGAAAATTTTATGCACAATTTCAGCATTTTTAATTGCGTTATCTGTTAATGTCTATTAATTTGATTGGTCGAGTTCATGTGATTCAAAGAATTCGATAAAATTTTGGGGGTAATAAATCAAAGTCATATGATATGGCCTGAATTATGACATTTGATTCCTTAATTCTGGCTAAACACAAAATTTTTTACGTTATCCAAAAAAAAAATCGGCGTCCCTGCCTTGCACACACTTTCGGTATGTTGTTCTATGCCCTTTTGACATGACGTGATGTAAATATTCACGTACAACTATCGCTTGCTTTATAAGCCTTTCAAGTGCAGATTCATTCACTTGACTATCAAAAGCTAAGAAAAACGCATTATAGTTACTAAAATCAATAATAAATCAATACTACATCAATTCTAAATAAAGACCTATGAATTGGATCATTATTGTTACATACAGAGTATGGCACTATTGATTTCATCTGCCAATTTATCACGATGCTCTTGAGATAATAATGGTGCAGACGGAGAATTTTCAGGTTTTTCATATGCTATTAAAGGGCTCACTTTAGCAAACTCATCACGAAGTGTTGGATATTCGGCCACTACAGATTGAGCAAATGATAAAGCTTCATCAAAATTCCCCGATCGTACAGTTTCTATAAATTGCTGTAATTGGAGTTTGAAACACATCTCAGTAGAACGCGGAGTTGTTAGATGATTCCCTTCCTCGGTAGATACCACTTTCGGAAAAGTAGTTCGACATAATGATAAAGCAGAAGGAATATCACCAGATATTATAAACTCGCGTATCTCTAATAATAAAATGGAACTATATAACCATTGTATGTATAAAAATTTTTAGTTAATAATGAAAACTCGAAGCAATATACTTACTCTTACGAATTTCCAAACTTTCCAAAGCAGATTCTGTGCAAAGCTTATTATTGGAATGTCGTATATTTTTCCATACAGGGAGGAACTTTGAACTTTTAGACACGGTAGATAAAGAATTGTTTGTGGCACTAACGTGAATAAAATCATTTGAATCAATCATTTCGAGATCACCGTCAGCGTCAGTTTCGCTCGTATCCATTGGAATAGTATCATTTGAAAGATTTTTAACGAAACCGTTAGTAAAAGGGAGTTCTTTTTTGGACGTTATATTGAGGTCTTGACTATCTTTTAAGAAAATTCTAGCGGTTTCACCATAACAATTGTGGATTAAGTAGTCAAGAACTAGCCGACGGACAATACGGTCGTCAGGTTCTTCTAAGTTTTGAAAAGAGTCAGAACAAGGATCCATTATACGTAAAAATTTTAACTTCAACTCAAATAAAAATAAGAGAATTTTGGGTATAAATTAACATATTTAAAACATCGCTTCGATATTTAAAGTACAGATCCTCCAATATATGGTCGCGTGATTATACATTATGTATGTACGTACGTATGTATGTACGTTCGATTTACGTATTAAATATTCATGTGACTCAAATCGCTAATGGGATGCGCAGGTTATTTATGGGTGCCCAGCTAAAAATAGGAAATTCCCAAAGTACAATAAAACAAATAACACAAAGTATTTTCCATTTCCACCAATGAAGTAATGGGGATTCACCCAATCTTAAAATTAGAGTTATTATTATTAATTAATGACATTTTGACATAACGAATATTTTATCTAGTGATCAGAATTTGAAACATTCGACTAGTCTCGCCGAGATGAATCGAAAATAATTTGATTTTGATCTCTAGATTAATCTTCACTGGTTACATTGGAATTACAGAATGGTTTTAGTAGAAATTCAAGCAACATCCATTAGCAGTTAGAGATAATGATGTAATGAGTACGTACGTACGTACATATAGGATACCAATTTTACATTTTATAAAATTTTATTGGCTACCATAAACTTTTTTGATACAACCCGACGGGATATGAAAACCAGTGTATTTTATTTGTATTGCTTAAGTTAAAAAAAATTACACAAAAAATTTTTTTGGTTTTTTAAAAAAAGATCACCCGGATAATAAATATACTTAACAAAATTTTTTTCTTAAATTAGAGAATCTTGCAATGAACTTAATTCTGAACCATTAATATCTTATTTAATTAAAGATTATATTTAATAAAATTCTTTTATAGTAACAGATTTGGTTTTTAGTTTTTTGGTTCGTTTTATTTTCGAAATTGATAACTGTAGTGCTTGATACTAATATGCGAGGCTTGTGTGAGTCTCTTATAGCATTTTGTAATAATGTGAGACTCACTAAAAGAATATTCTAATTTTATAAAACATTAAATGTTAATATAATTAGAGCTATATACAGTATATAATAAATAAATAAAAACTTTAAACATGAAGTTGATAATAGTTGCCTCTCTTATATGAAAGTATCTATTTAATTCATTTGAATTGCAAACAAGAACGTTTAAACGCTATTTTTATTAATAAAACTAAAAAACTTGAATTAACATTATTCTATATTAGCATTATAAAAACTAAAAAAAAAGTTTTCATCAAATTCGGTTAGTTGGTTGTTGAGAAATCTTTATTAAATTTAAAAACCACGATTGTAGCAAAACTCTAATACTGTATTTTGATATTTTTTTAAAAACTTTAAATAATGTTTTTTGGCTGGGGTTGAGTCAATAGAAATCAAGCAAATATTTTTTATTAAGTTTTTTTTGAAACTCTAAGCAAGGATAGCTTAACAAAAACTTAATCAAATTTAATAAAAACTTTTTTTAAATTAATTAATTCTACAAGTCTGTAAAATTATTTTAAAAAATTTTTATTAAATTTTGTTAAGTTTTTGTTAAACTATTCTTGTTTAAAGTTATAAAAAAATTTTATTAGCTTCAAAAGTTTAATCACATGGTAGTTGAGGAACCTTTTCTAGAAAATATTAAAAAGGATCGTCACATACACAGATCTTGAAATTCGATTGGTCAACAGGGGTGTGGAACAATTTAAGCGCGTTAAGGGTTTTTAAAAATCTTATACGCGTAAAAATTCGTTTAATACAAAAGTTCGTCAAATATAATGCTTTACAAGGAACGTGTGAAATCCCATTTTATACTATCAGTCGCGCGCATCCCTACTGGCGTATGGCCATTACGTCCTGCGTTAGATGTTTGGTGCTAGTCTCCAGGGAAGTACTTAAGTATACGCCTAAGGCCTGATCCTTGTATGCTAGTATTGTATACCTACTGGCGTATGGTCATTACGTCCTGCGTCAGATGCTTGGGGGCAAGCCTCCAGGGAAGTACTTGAGTGAAAGTACTCAATGCTGATCCCTGCATGCTGTTTCCAGTATCCGTTGACTGTTGCCTCTGTCGATTATTAGTTTATCATATGGGCTGCCGTCAATAGAAATCAGGCAGATCTACATTTGAAAAAAAATTAATGCCTTAACTTTCACAGCTTATAACTCAATGGATTTTAAAGCTATCTTGATGGTTTTATATTCAAAAGAAAGCTTACGATCTAAGAATTCTTTTAAATATTAAACCATCAAAATAGCTTTAAAATCTATCAAGACATGAGCTGTGAAAGTTGAGGCATTAATTTTTTTTCAAATGTAGATCTACCTGATTTCTATTGACAGCGGCCCATATACAAAATATATAGTTATTTATATTAGTTAATAACTTATATTCCTTTTTTCTTTCTTTTAAAGATGTTCGAGTCTATTGTAACAGAATAACTCAAACAGTACAAAATACAGGAATTGGTCAATTATCTCAATCTTAGAGTACACAAAATCAAAATGTCAATTATATACTGATTCCATTGACAATCTTAGGAAGATATGTACACAGCTTTATGTAAATATAAGGAAACCCCTGGCACTTATGCGAACGTAACCAATAAACTGGACAAGATTCTAACTAATTTTGAGAAATTATTTTCTACCGCCGAAGTAAAAGAATTTGTCGACAAACTTCAAGAGGAACAAGAAGAGCGTGGATTTGATGAGGTTCTTCGACTCAATGTGGCATCTGCCTGCACAATTAAAGCCTTAGAGGTAAATTTTGAAATAGTATCAGAAACAAATTTTACAATGGTCTAACTTACAACTCTTAGGGCTATCGCACGAATCAAACAGTCATTAATGAATTAAAAAATGGCAAACACGAGGTTAGCAAATTTATGATTGTGGCCAATTCATAACTATGGACTGATTTATTAATCTGATTTCCTTTTTTTTATGGCATCTTTTAGAAAGGACCTCCTCCAAAAACAAAAAGAAAAAATAACGTAAATAAGGACAATGCAAGCTCAGAGATAAAGAATAGCTCAGAATATGATGAAAGACCAAATAAAGTAAGAAATAGAAGCTTTTAGTTTCTTTAAAAAAAAAAAAAAAAAGATACTGCAGTCAATAATTTTTTTCAATTCAGGCTAAAAAGCAGGCTACAAATAACAGTGAAGAAGTCATTAGAAACAGTGTTGCAAGTGATAAATCAAAAACAGCGAATCAAGGAATCCTTGCACCCGGAAAATGTATACCAGGTTGGGCTCGAATGATGGTCCGGAAAATGTCTTCGAATTTTTTCTTTTTTTTTTCTTTTTACTAAGACTTTATTTTTCAATTATAGCGATAATATAAAATAATATTTAATACAATTTACAACAACACATATCTAATGCATAGAATAATGCAAGTAAATTTGAATTTCGACATTATAATAATTTATTTCTTTTTAACCATTTGGCTTGTTTTCTGTAACATTCTTCGATAATTTATGTACTTCATTTCAAATTGATTGATATTTTCTTTTGTATATTCATTGACTGTATGAAATTTGGTGAAATAGATAAGACGCTAATTTGTCTATCGATAGAGATTTGGATTTTCGTATCCTTCTAAGTTGGCTATTATTGTTAACATTACTAATGATAAGTTGAAAACTTTTCAATAGATATAATATGCTTATTAGATCTTCGTTGCTACATACAGTAGGTATTAAATAAATTCTGAATTGGTATCAATTAAAATTTAAAATACCAACCAAATTTTAATATCACTTTTAGACGATCGAACATTGCTTATTTTAACATTTGGCTATTATAGCTTCAATTTGTGACTCATAAGGACGAAAGTTTTTGGCGAAGTGACATAGGTAGATTTGATATATTCTATTATTTTGTTTTGCTAAGTCCTAATTTGATGGTTTCTTGCATGTAATCAACAAGCCTACAATATAAAATACATATAAAAAATTTTGCATCGCTTTTATTTTTGCAAAAAAACCCTGAAAAATATTATTGATTATTATAATTTAAATAATGATAAACTAAGGCCATATAAAATTAATTTTTTGGTTCTCATAACATAAAAAAAAAGTTTAAAAATGACCCGGCAACCTGGCTTTTAATTTTATTTTTAAAAAATTTTATATGTAAAAAACATATAAAATTTTTTTACAAAAATTTAAAAAGGTTCACCCGGATAATAAATATAGTAAAAAATTTTTTTCAAACTTTTGTTGAATATGACCCGGCCGGGTTATGAGAACCAATTAATTAAGTTTGTATGGCCTAATAACAATAAGTAATTTTATTTTATTAGCTAGACAACGTACGTATGTAAATACATAATTTTTGTTTTTACTTCCGAATATTATACTAGCTTTCTGGACAATCAATCTGGTACACATTTTCTAATCCTTTGATAGTAATGTAAGTTAATATCAGAGTTAATTTTATGTATTTTATTCAAAGAGGTAAAAGTGCCTTTTAGTTTCTTTAAAAAATTAATAATCAATATCTTTTTTCAATTCAGGTTAAAAGACAGGGTAGGCGGGCAACCAGTTAGATGAAAAGATATTTTGGAAGATCAGCATTTTGGATCAAAGAAAAAGAACATATATTAAAGAATTATATACCAAGGTGAGATGGGCTAAAGGCACTTAGCATCTATATTTAAACTTTACTTTTTTTGTAATTTTCTTACTGATTTATCCTGTGCTTCTAACTAACAACTCAGAAGGTTCGACTTTAACAGTTCTAAGGTAGTGTATAAACCTTATAATGGCAAAGTAATTACTAGATTATACTACAAGTAGAAGCTTTAGCAACTGTGCAAAACTAGATTGGAATATGAAAGGCTTTGGTAGGTTTACCTTGTAAATATATAATAATAGAAGAATCTAAGTTAGTAATTAGTTAGTACAAATACAGAATAAGTTTTAAAGAGTTTTAAAATAGAGTGTGTATTCAAAATTTGTAGTAATATAGTGAGGGTTAGAAAACATGTTACTATAAATTAGTAGTTCTAGTTTGAGTTGCAAGTACAAGCATTTAGTGTAGATTATACTAAAAGCACAATGGCTAGTTGTAGAGGTTGGAACAGGTTTTAAATATTTGAGTTTATCATGTCAAAATTTGAGTTTATCACTTCAAAATTTGAGTTTATCATATTAATTATTAATAATTGATGTAATAAACTCAAATTTTGGAGTAATAAATTCAAATATTTAAAACCAGTTTCAATCTCTAACTAGTTGTATGTTTAATATAACTATAATAGTGATTTTATTATCCAATTTTTTTTTTTTTTTTAACATTTCAGCAGTCTTGTCTCTACTTATTAGATTTAATAATATTATACTTTGAAATATTAAATTTTTTAGAAGGCTATTCCTCCTGATATCTAAGTTACAAGTATTGGCTCACCTAGTTGTTTATAGAATACCTATATGTGACCTGCTATAGTAAGATTTATCTTCATACTAATTATCCTGCAAACAGATTCATTAGTATCTCCTTAGATGGTTTTTATGGCCTGTCAAGACTATTGATTAAATTTTCTACCAATTTGCCTGTTTTTTACCTTTTATCCAACTCAAAATCTCATTCTTAGTTAGTTCAAGCACCTCTTTCTATCTTACTTCAGTCTTATTTTTTTTTCCTTTCTTTTATGGAAATCATCACTTGGGTTTTTTTGCTTGCTTTTTTTTTTTTTCTTTTTAGTCTTCTTCTTTTTTTCTTTGATATCTGTACTAGATTTTCTTTTTTTTTTCTACATTATACTATTCTTCTTTTTCTATTCTTGTACTAGCTTGCATCTTGTAATCTATATCTCTTCATAAATCTTTTTAATTCATCTTTCCAAAGTCTTATTATAAAATCTTTTGGAATCAAAACTTAGCCGAATTTTATCAAAGTCTTTTTTTGTGATTAGGCCTCTTATTTATCTTTCTCTTCTATAGAGCTCTTCGGCTATATTTTCTTTTCCTATTATAGATAAGATCTCTTCTTTCTTTTTATACCAGTTTTGTATTTTTTTATTTCTTTTAGGGTTAGCTCAACTTCTTGTTCTTCTATATTTTGCATTATATTTAGTGATACTTCACAGCTTACTAGATATTCTATATTTTCTGTCTTCTTCTTGTATATAATATATTTATCTGTTTTGTATATATCTGATTTTCTTCTGTTAAGCTTTTTTAATACTAGTAAAACATTGTTTATACACTTTAATTCAAAAAGCTGTATTAAATTTGATTTAAAAGTGTGATTTTGCTACTTGGTTCCATTTTTTAATAGTTTATAGAAGATTGGCTAGTACTGTAAGGTTGTTTTTTCTTGGTGTGTAATGTTTTGATTATTATGCACAAAAGTCCATTCTACTCTATTTATTACTTTATCTACTATTTTGATAAAAGAGTATATTAGCTTTTCTATAACTTTATTTTCCTACTTGTACCTTAACCTGAATTCTTTTGTATCTAATACTATGAGAATTAAGAGTTCTGTAGATGATGTGTTTTTCTTGGCTTTAAGATCTGCCAAGTTATTGTAAAAATCTTCTGAGTGACCCTTTACTTTGGTTAGATAGAGAGCTAATCACTTTGTTTTAACTGTTTCTACTATTGTTGCAATCACATCACCATTTTTTATTTTAAACCATTGTCTTGCTTTATTTGCTTTGAGCTCTTTTTTGATTGCAAAAATAGCTGTACTACTATCTGTTTTTATTTCAACTTCTTTTTCTTTAAATATACTACATCAGCAAATTTATAAGACCATAATATTTTATAATAATGTACAAAACATAAAAAAGCTATAATATTACGTAAGAATTTCAAAATATTGCGAAATATCAAAATTATAAAATATTATATAAGATATTTTGAAATATTTTGAAATTCCTTACATAATATTATGGCTTTTTTATATTAAGCAAAAAATTTCAAAATAATCTGCATATATCTACAAACTTATATTTTGTATTACTAAATAATCTACTATGACCCACCAACTAGGGTTGTGGCCCAAACTATTTTTTTGTTATGACATTACTATATAGTTTGGGTTTGGAAATCAGGATTTCAATATACAGTAATGTCATAAATTTGAATATTTTTATGGCATTTACTGCTTTTATCATCCATACAGCAGATCGTACGGAATGAAGTATTTTAGAAATTGCAAAATTATATGATAAGAGAATGTAAAATATCTATCATATAAGTGTGAAATAACGTCCACATGTGCACTAATTAATTGACCCGCGTGTTATTTCGAAATAAGAGAAGATTTTCTAAATTCAATATAGTCGACCTTCATGTTGTTTAATAAAGGTGCATTTATAAATTATGAAGTATAATTTACATATATAATACGTATATATTTAAATAATTACATAAATTATAATTAGTACATGTAAAGTACACTTATAGAGTGTACACATATAGAGTATTGACTGTATATCGCATAAGAGCCCAAAGGGCCCTCATATAACTAGGAACTTATCTCTTATTCTTGCTGTTGCAATAAATACATAGTGGTAAAGTGGTTAGAAAAAATTAGTACCTAATCTAGTAAAATTCTCGCTGATTTTTTATTGAAACTACTTACTTTTGTTTTCTTTTATTTCTTGGTTCACTTTCTTGGAGAGAGCAAAAAAATTTTAACTCCATTTGCTCAAATTCTCGGGTGTGGAAAATCCCATGATAAAAAGTAATTTCATTATGAATACTTTTGCCAATTTGTTCAGGTCTTTTTCGTTAGTCAGGTCTGCTCCTCTAGGCAGGCTACCAATAAATTAGTTACAGCTGTTTTCATTATTCCTGGAACATTTATAAAAAAATTAGCCAAAAAATTTTTTGGCTAGTAATTTTTTTGGTATAATAAATTCAATAAAAATTAATATAATACTGTAATATATACATAATTTAAAATCAGGTGGCAAACATAAATAAAAAATTATGCACATTTCTTGTTGAATTTAAAAAATATGATGTTTTCAAACCACATTTGCTGGCAAATTATTAAAAAATTTTTAGAAGGCCTATTAACTTGAAAAATTGCAAAACACTTAGGTGTTAGCAAATCTCTTATAAGTCAGATTCTTGTGCATTTTCAAAAATATAGTTGTATTGAAAAACTTCTATTGCTTTCGGGAAACCCACGTTCTTAAATATGAATGATATAAATTATCTTTAAGTTTTAATGAAAGAAAAACCTAACTGGTACTTGTATGAATTACAGTAATTTGGAATAAACCATTTTCATTTATATATTAAAATTTTTTTTCAAATATTTATCCTAATAAATATATAAATGATTAAATATTCGCACTGTTATATAATAAATTTATTGAGGTACTATTATTATTTGTATTAGAATATTGTGGCTCTTAAAAATTAAAAAATGATACTA